GATGGTAGGCCTGTTAAAGTAGTCAGATAATCTGACAGCACTTAGTAAGTTACGATCTTCCCCGATCAAACTAAAATGAAATACACATTTTATTTGCAATTAAAAACAATTCGTAACTAATAATTACTGGAATTGTCCTTGAATGGACGAATGGAAGTATCTAAAAGCAGCGTGAGCATGAGCGTTAATAACACTTGGATCGACATTTTCCTTGTAATCGTTGGTGTAACCTTTATTCTTGTACAACAAACCGTATTTCAACATATTTTCGGTTCCTAAGATGATTGGAAGCCATTCGTGGTAGTTGATGTGTTGGAATTCTGCGATAAGGACTCTTCTGGCTTCTTGATAAAGGGTTTCATCGTCCCAATGAGGATTAACATGCGACAAAACTGTAGCAATACGGTTATGTTCTCTGAGTAAAAGTATTTGCAAAACAGTCAGTTGTGGATTTTGATTTGCTCTTCGGTCACCTAAAAATGTATAACACAATGATATATTATAATTTATATAAAATAATTTAGCGTTTTGCGCACTAACCGAATTGGTAGCATGGTTCTTCATCCGTTTGTTGATCACATACGGCACTCTTGTTAGCTGCTGCTGGTGGCCATGGTCTTCCATCTCTGAATTCAACTCTCAATCTTCCACCAATACCTTCACGAAGATTGTCAGCTAATCTTTGGCTTGAGCCATATACGAAAGAAGCATCCATCCAGTGGGATACGACGACTAACTGTAAACGTCCATTATATTTTCACAATATCAATATAGCACAGAGAATTTTTAGTTTTAATTATAATGGTTTTTTTTTTATCAGGTGTCATTTACTATGAAATATGATTAATTTACTTGTTCGGCGGGTTGGTTTCCAGCATTACATCCAGTTTCTAAATCGGTGGTTGATCTAACAAAGTTCATGCATTCTCTATTGAATTTGGAGAAAACTGGGTCGTCTTCGGGGATGGTGATGGGGAAACAGTGAACGTCTGGGTTGTTGCTTAACAAACGGCCATTGTCATCACAACATCTGATGGAATGACGTTCTATTGGGTGAAAAAAAAACATTTTTTCAACATTCCGTGGCATTAAAATCAAAATCACAGTAATTACAATAATTTAAACGCCTATTAATGACACAAACCTGTGATGTAAACCACTCATAAAAGTGTTAACAAATTATATTTTATAATCGAGATTAAAATTCAATTTTAACACACAGAAAACACGAAATATAATTTAATTTAAATATTATTTTCCTTAATTGCCTGTAATATACTTTTAACCATGATATATAGTACAATTAATAACTACAAATATTATAAGGACTATAAACCTTATTATTTTGAAAGTGGCTGTCACATGTAATATGCACAATAATGATATAATACGCGTAATCTTATTTGGCATGATACTCAGATGAGTATAATACAACCCATAAGATTTCGGTTAATACGCATAACATTTAACTCATTGGTGCCGTTACGATGTAATATAATCTAACGTGACGATGGACGCTCTAAAACACTACCAAGATATAAAATAATAGTCACGAAATCGCTATTACCCGCTTGCGAGTGTTATTGTTGTTTGACATACTCGTGCAGTACACTGTGTGTGATATTCATAAAACCAGTAAAGAAGAGTGTTCAACGAAAAAACACATGCACACTCATACCAAAAACTCTTCCTTTTGTTAAACAAACAATTCGGATTCAAAAAAATGATGATGATAATAATAATACGATAACATTAATACGCACAACTAGAATTTTCTCTTAGTTTTGCAAGTCTCAAAACTTTTTAGTCATATTAGTTTACTCAGTTACGTTACATAAAAATTAAATGTTTACAGTATTGCGTATCCAAGTAAAAAATTCTGTAGAATGACCCATAGAGTATCATCTTTGCCCAAGGCGTAATATGTATGATTTTTTCAAAGAAAAATAATTGGCGACCGGTTTGTCATAAAAATATATATGTATCCTTAGTGAAATGCTATAGGCGAACTGTACTAAATAACTATAAGATCAAAATAATTATAAAAAGTATCGCTAACACATCTATCCATGTGCTCCTTAATGTCATCACCATGTAAGGTACATGGGAATCGTATGTACACGTCAAAGAATTACTTTCACCTTAGCCTGATGATGACTTACATAATCAAATATTAAAACACTATTCATTAAGTTCGTATAGTTAGTCATAGGGCGAAAAAAGTGTTCCGTTAATAGTTTTAAACTATAAGCGCAGTATTTTTAGTTTATATTTCTTATAAATAAGAAATATAAACTAAAAATATATTTCTTGCGGACACTTACTTGCTTGAGTAGTACCCATAGACATGGACATGTCGTGAGTAACAATTTGACCCCATGTCATGGTAATCAATGTCCAGACTGGATCAGGAATGGGAACGTCTGGGAACATAACAATACTGACAAGACGAGAACTGGGCAATGGTTCACCAGTAAGGGATGTTGGAGGCGCGTGGATACCTATTTTTAACAATCATACTTTGTAAATTCATAATTAATTAATTCAATAAAAATTTTAACCAATTACCATCGGAGTATCTAGGTGGTAACAAACGGGCGTATTTAGAATTTGGTGTTCCCCAATTGGTATATCTCAAGTTGTTACAGGATCCATCAATGGTTCTGTATTTGCTATTAGGACAAGGACCAACCGGTGGTAAACATCCGGCTCCTTGGGGTGGAGTGGATATTTCACCAAAACTGTAAAAAATAATTAGTTATTCATGAGTTTAAAAATTAAGGATTAAAAGTGCATACTTGTTGGGTCCTGGACGTGATCCCAAACCGTTTGGTGTTAGCTGACGGAAACCAGCACCATGAGGTGCTTGGTAGGAATGACCATAGGACGCTTGTGGATGATATCCTAAAATTTCAAGAATGTATGTATCAAATAAAGGATCGAATAAAATTTCATTTGAACGTACCGGAGTGATTGTTTACGGCGTATGGGTCGTGAGATTGATAATATGGTGAATGATGGTATATGGCAGAAGCTGAGCAGAATAAACCTGCTGCCAGTAAAATGGCTACATTGGTGTTCAGCGTCATCTATAAAATGAAGTACATGTTATTAGTTAATGATTGTAACAACGTTAGAGTGATTTTAATTATTTATTTTTTAAATATAAAATAAAGAGTATTTCTAATAGCATTAGTTACAATATCTTACATTTACATACGAACTATACAGTGTATTATATATTTGGTTTACTTTTATTGTATCATACATGAGTCTAAGTCAACAGATATAATCTACAATATATTCACTACTTTGCATACAAAATACCTAACCAAAACTAACAAAACAACACGTTTCGCTTAGTTTTTTACCAGGACTGTATAATACATATTTTTAAATTATTATGCTAGACAACTTTTCTTAACTAATTATTACTACTGAAATATTACGTAGCATATCATATAAACTTTTACTATTTTTGTCCAAACTCGTTAAATTTTTTTAATTTAGTTTGCATTTAACATAAGACGTCTTTTACAAATTAAATAAATAGTAATTCCATTATAAGTTAGGAATTTTTTATGCTCTTAATTTATGGTTGTTACATCTAGCACATGACATAAACAACTTCTGACTAATAAATACGATAGATTCCTTTAAAATACTTTTCTCCGAAAATTTCTCCACATAGCAGATGGCGCAATATTTAAATAAAGTTTAGATACTAGTTATTTTATAACGAAAACTTTCCATTTAAGTTTTAACAAAAACCTACACAAATCTGCCGTCCAAGATAATTTAATTTAAAATTTTTTACTGCTGCTCATAGAAAACTACAAGCAATATACTTCCCCACATATCTATTATCCGTCCACAAGACTCTAAATTGCAACACGGACTACTTGTTTTTTAATGGCTTTATTTGATCTTTGACTCCTAACATAACCAAATATCCAATCAAATTTATGTATATTAACCAAATAACTTCAGTTATGAGTTACATCATTTAATAATACCTACAGAGTTTGACATTGATACTCTTGTTTGTTTAGTTATTGTTTTCTAAATAATACAATACCGTAAAAGTTCCCTGTGTCATTGTTTTCATATATGTAATAATTTCGGATCAAAGAACAATCAAAAGTGGCTCGTCAACGTTTGATAATCAAAAAAGAATGATAAAAAATGTCAAACCACATTTTTGGGCAACTATATTTGGTATAGCTTTCAACCTTTTCAATGCAACCAGTTGCATTGAATATAGGATAAGTACTTTCATTTTTGATATTAGATATTTCATATATTGTTATATAATGTAGAATTTATAAATTATGTTGCAAAATAAAAAAATGTATACATATTTATAAAAATTAATTTTTTTTCAAATTGTTACGTTTTTTTTCATTTGAGCTATGATAATTATATTATTAGCGTCAGTAATTTTTCTGCGTTAGAATCACATTACCAAAAATATTTAATAATAAAATCGAATATAAATTGATAAAAGAATGACTCAAATCTACAAGAGTAGGTTGAAAAGTAAGGCATTTTTGGGTATAATTTTAAAAGTAATAAACGTAAACTAATAAATCTAAAACATGTGCGTAGACAATTAAACACATTTAATTTGTATATTATCATTATTTAAGAAATCTCTTTTTAGGCCAATCATTTTACTGAGTTCAATTTAATTTTTGGTATGCCGTCAAAAACATTTTTTTTTTCATTTTTAGCATTACAATAACACAAAACTTTCGAATCAGGATAGAATTCTATACTTAAAGTATGATCTTTAAGACAAAAAAAAAAATAATAAACACAGTAATAGCACTTAACGCTAAATCTGGATTATTGATTAAAATGCAGAATGACTTCTACATTTATTAATTTAATATTGAATCAATGAAAAAGCACTGGATATATTGACTCTGTTTAATTATTTCGGTTGAAATTTTGGATCCACTTTGCGCATATTTTCAGCACACAAATCCATTGATAATTTTTAACATTAATGAAATTTCTTATTGCATTATTATCCGATTATTTTAAGTTAATGGACTTGACTATCAACTGATTCAGTGTACCATTACTGAGCAACATAAAGTGATCTGTTAATGACAATTTTAAAATAAGTAATGAAAAAAATACACTATTTATTGTCTAGCTCATTAGTTTTATCACGTTAATACCAGAAAACAATGAGTTTTTGAAAATGTTTTATTTTACTTTCTCTTAATAGTTTGATCACCTAGATTAATTGAAAAATGTATAGATATTTACATCGATGCTTTAAACAAATATCATACACAGAAATTTCACCGGCTACAAAATTAAACAATAAAGTACACACCTCGTAAACACATTAAGTAAATATCATAATATCGTGAGACTATTAATAATCATGTCAAGGGCGATTTATCCGCGATTTGGGTGTGTTTTTTTTTATTTAACACTGTTCTGCATTGATAATAACAACAATAATAATAATTATTATTATTATTACTATGATTATTATTATAGTCGTGGCCATGCATGTGTTCGGCCGTTATCCACGATACGTCGAATGACATATTGACCCCAGCTAGTCATTATTGTCTTACTGAACACTTGTGGACAAGATAATTTACATGTGTTAGGTTCACACTAGCGCAAAGTACTTCGGGGCTTTTGATGAGAAGATATCTTTATTTATATTTCTCATGCACAATTTTATTCATAAATAGTATTGACTGAAATATAATGTGTTTCTTGTTTCTTCCTACACTAAAAATCATGTAAAAAATTTGAATTTCCGATATCAGTTTTTAAAAATTACTAAAATTTTTAATTATAAACTTAATGGATTACAAAACCTTTCACATGTTTAGTTTTAAAAATTGTGTCAAACTTGAGTTGAATTATATTAGTTGAATTTCATAATACATTGGTCTAGTTATAAGTGTTGTAATAGATAAAGATTTAAATTAATTTAAATACGATGTCTGTTTATATAGATTATTTTGATTTCAATATTAGAATAAAATGGAAAAAATTATTTAAATGGCATTATTAAGTTTGGATTTGTAAGATATTCCAACAGAAAATTAGTAAATTTTCATTTCTAAGCTGCCAATAATAAGTTTTTTGGGTAAAGAAAATTATAAAGTTATACACAAATCATTCGTATTATCATTGAAGTTAAGCAAAATACTATAAAATAATTATTTTTAAACCAGTTACCAAGAATGACATACTAAAGAAACATAACACACGATGTGCAATTAATAATTTTTAGTGTAGGGGTGTTGAATACTCCAAGAAACGATGGTGTGAAGTGAAATCTACTTAAACAAGAAGATATTCTTGTCTTCGCTAATGGCAATTTCACTTGGATAAACATCATCCTACTCATCTAATTGGTACGTTTATCACTTAGATAAAAAACTGTGTGTCCGTTTTAACTACAATCAATTGATAACGTATGAAAATTAACACAAGAAATAACACGGTATAAGTCTCTCACTTGAATAATTTATCATGTGGTTTAATAAACTGTAATTTGTTTCAAATGCGCCGTTTTAGAAAACCGGTCTTTACGATATTAATTTTGTCTCATCGCTGTTAAAGTTACTGTCTCTCCGAATATATATGATTAAAAAACCGTTGTATAACGTAGCATCACATTCTTGGTATAATCTAAAAAAATAACTTTACGCCAATATCTCTTTCATCTAATCATCTATTACACCAAATTAATTCAACTTATGTTCACTACCTTCCGAAATGCTAAATTAGACATAATACTTTGGAATTATACAAATTTTACTGAAACTCAGATAAAACACAGTAATATGATATTTTAATAATAACAAGTATTGTTGTCGATACGATTTACATGTCTCATATGTATAAGACATTTCTTAATCAAAAATCACCTTTTTAAACAAACGATCGTTCATGTTTGCTCGAAATTCTTTTTCGTAAGGTTCTTTACATTGTGCGCGGCTCTGTTTAATTGACAGGTTACCGGATTTATACGACGACACTGATGATAAGTTTGAAATAGAATAAAGATATAAAACATTAATTGTTCATGTTTTATATCTTCATAATTAAATTTATCGCTTACGATTAATTATTATTATTAGTCGTCAGTATCAAAATAAATTTTAAAAAAACAATAAAATTTGTAAATTTTATTAAAATTAAAATAAAATAAAATAAAATTTTTTAATTTATACGTAATAATTTATTTTGGTTATTTAAGACTTCTTTTCTATCGTGTATGATTAAATATTAATAAAGATTTAAAAAAACATTAACTACTCTCTGAGACACAGACCTTCTTAGTAAATAGATATGAATAGAAATATAATCATTTGAGCGCTACATTCCGGCCTTGGTTATGTTTCTTTGCAAGGGAATCTGGGTCGATTGATTTCCAAAAAGAATAAGAATAATTCATAAATAACTACAAGTAATAAAATGTAAATTCCGTTAATATTTATAGGCACGTTATATTGTGGACAAACATCAGGGTTACTCATATTATAAACGCATAAATACGAAAGATAGAGGCGGTGGCAAGATAAATTAATCCTCGTTCAGATATTACAAAAAAACAATAAATTGAAGAACTAATTGGAATTCTAAAATATTATTCATTAATATTAAACTAGGAATATATACTGCCGCCCAAAGCCACCTACCACCTTGCGACGGAATCTCTAAAAGATAGATTGATTATTATAGACAGCTCGTTCACCTCAAAAAAATAACCGTAACCTAGTTATGTCACTGTAATATGCAACGAGACTCGCCTCAGTCCATTACAAAACGGTCGGCATACGCGTTATGCTAATTATTATCAATATGAATTGTATAAGCACGCACGTCAAGTAATACAACTAATGATCTTTCACAGGAGTCAAAGTTTTTGGTAAATTTTTCAACGCCAGTGGCTGTGGGTTAAGAGTGTTATTTGCAGTGTCAAGGGCAAGTAAATTCACGTGATTTCGCAACTAAATTGTGACTGGTGCTGATCTATATCAGTAGCTGATCGATAATTAATTGATGAAATTAACATAGAAGGCTGATGTCTACGCAAGCAAAGTGAGTCGTTACAGACATT